TTGTTGTTGTTGTTGTTGTTGTTGTTGTTGGATTGCATCTTCCATCAGCTGCAGCAAGTAGGTGGTCACACAGGTCAGGGCAGAGAAGGGGTGAACTCTAAAACTATTGAGGGAATGAGTAGTTGCAGCCTTAATTGCTTCTTCCTCAGGGTTAATTTTAGGTTTAAAAAGGCAACATCTGAACTCTGGACTAAGAAGCTGGCTGACTAACAAAATGTTGGCATTGTTTGTGAAGAAAACTTTCAATTATTAAAAGAGAAAGAGAGAGGTGGTGGTGGCACTAGGAGGAAACTATTTAGAATAAGTTCAATTGAGTCTTTGTTTCCCACCAAATCAGCTCCCATGTATCCCTGCTTTTGGGTAGAGTTTAAGACAGGTTTGTTGTTGTTAACTGCCCTTGAGTCGACTTTGATTCAGGGCAACCCTGTGGATGAGATTTCTCCAAGATGCCCTGTTCTCCACTGCTCCATTTAGGTTTTGCAGATTCAAGCCCATGACTGCTCTGATTGAATCCAACCAACTGGTGTGCACTCTTCCTCGCTTTCTGCTGCCCTCCACCTTTCCTAACATTATTGTCTTTTCTAAGGAGTGATGCCTTCTCATGATGTGGCCAACGCGTATCATTGCAGTGGTGTCACGCTGCATTAATTCTGCAGTGTAGATGCAGCGGCAATGTTTTTGGATTGCATCTCCCATCAGCTGCAGCAAGTAGGCAACCACATAGGGCAGGTGAGAGAGGGGGCAACTTCTAAAACTGCTGAGGAAATGAGTATTTTTGTCATCTTGGCTTCTCGTGATGTGGCCAATGTGTGACAGTCTTAGTTTTGTCATCTTGCCTTCAAGGGAGATTTCAGTCTTGATCTGTTCTAGGACCCATTTGTTTGTCTTTTTGACCATCCACTATATTCTTAGCACTCTTCTCCAGCACCGCATCTCAAATTAGTTGATTTTCTTCCTATTCACTTTTTCACTCTCCAGCTCTCACATTCATACATGGTGATGGGGAATACAATAGTTTGGACGATCCTCACTTTAGTAAACAATGTTATGTCTTTGCTTTTTAGGATCTTGTCTAGTTCTTTCATAGCAGCCCTTCCCAGTCCTAGTCTTCTTCTGATTTCTTGACTGCAGTATCAGTTTTGATCAATGTTTTGATCTTAATTATTTAAGAATAATTTATGTAGATCCTCATTGGATATTATTTTTGTTTTCTTTATATTCGGCAGTATGCCTGTCTTTGCCCTTTCTTCTTTAACTTCAAACAAGTATGTGACAGCAAATTCACATGCAGAATTACATGGAAGGGATGCCTTGTTGTTGTTAGCTGCCCTCTAGCCGATTCCGACCCATGGCAACTCTGTGGATGAGACATCTCCTAGAATCCCTATCTTCCACTGCTCTACTCAGATCTTGCAAGCCCATGCCCATAACCCCCCTGATTGAGTCCAGTCTTCCTCTCTTTCTTCTATCCTCTACCTTTCCTAGCATTATTGTCTTTTCCAGTGATCCATGCTTTCTCATTATGTGGCCAAAATATGATAGCCTCAACTTGAACATCTTGGCTTCCAAAGAGAGCTCTGGTCTGATCTGTTCAAGGACCCATTTGTTTGACTCTTTGGCTGTCCATGGTAACCCAAGTACTCTTCTCCAGCACCACATTTCAAATTAGTTGATTTTCTTTCTGTCTCCTACCTTCACTGTCCAGCTCTCACATCCATACATAGTAATTGGGAATACAATAGCCTGGACTATCCTAACTTTAGTGCTCAGTTGTATGTCTTTGCTCTTCAGCATCTTTTCCAGTTCTTTCATAGCTGCCCTTCCCATTCTTAGTCTTTTTCTTATTTCTTGACTGCAGTCTCCGTTCTGGTCAATGTTTGAACCTAGATATGGGAATTCTTTAACTATTTCAATTTCCTCATTGTCTAAATTGAATTTGTCTTTGAATGTCTTTGAGTGCATTCATTAGGTGGAAGCAAAGTGGAAAACCAAGAATTGGGAAAGGATTAAGCTCCCCTCTTTCTCTGGGGCAAATTTCCCATTACCCACACACATTTGCACCTCCTCCTGGCCCATCCATGCTACAAGGGATTTGTTACACCAATTTACAAGGAAGTCATAAGTGACACAATTGACAATGATTAATGTATGGAACCAGTTTTAGCAGAGCAGCCATCTCAGTCTGTTGATACTAAGGCAACAAATAAGTTTTTTTTGGCACCTTAAAGACATCCAAAAAATGTGGGCTGAACCTACTTTTATTCATCCGAGGAATGACGTTAACACCTACATGGTTTGTGTGTGTGTTGAGTACACAGAAGAAGATAATGGTTTGATTTTTTAATTTTTTTAGCGAAGGGAGGCCAAAAGGCCAACTTACAAAAGATAGTGACAGTATATCCAAGTACAATACAGTGCAGAGTGATGAGTTAGTGAGTTTCTCAGAGAGACACGGACGTTCCAGAATAACAATCACATGGGGCTGTATATATGCTGTTTTGGCAAGAAAGTGCTAGTTAACCATGTACACTGGGTACTATTATTAAGTGTGCTGTTCTATTTGAAGCGGGACACCACAGTCCCTCTCCAGTTGCCTGGCTATAGGCTAGTCTTATAGGAAGGTGTGGATATATGTGTGCATGTGTGAGTGCTCCAGAGAGGGGGATGGAGAGAAAAGGAGACAAAACAGGCTGGTAACCAAACAAGGCAGGCCAGGAATGCTGGTAAATTATTCAGCTAGACAGCTGATAACGTCTCTGACCCAGGAAGAGGGGGAAAGGTTTTCAAGGGCGCCAGGAGCACCCAGAATTGCTGGTGCCGCCTGTGGGGAAACTCGCCTCCTTTTGCCCAGGTCTGTCTGCTGCTCAGCTTTCCCCTGAACCCAAACCGGCCTGACCAGCTTTGGCAAGGCTTTCTTCCACATCACATACAAGGGAGGTCAGAGACTGCCAAGTTGGGAAGGCAAAAAAAGATGCCGCGTCTTTGACTTTGCGGTTCTTCTGACTGTGGAGAGGCATCTCTCTGCACCTCTGGGGCCAAGCAAAACAGAAGACCCCCTTGAAGGGGGAGGAACACCCACAAGCCTCATCCAGACCCAGCTGTGAAAGCAAAGGCCCACTTCTGGAAAAAGACAGTTCTCTTTCTGGATATTGCCTACTGTAAAGGTGAGCAAACAATCAGGTGCAGGTAGGGTCCCAGATCTCAAGGCTTGGCCACTCTTCTTCAGTTGCCCAGGCAAGTATGTTGGTTTTAAATATGTGTATGTTTGTGTATATGTGTTGATCATTTATTAGTCCTTGTTGTTGTTGTTATTGTTATTTTGAATGACAGACTCTGTTCAACTGTGGTTGATGCTTAAAGGTATTATGTTTAATGGCATCACCGGGGGCTGCACCTTATAACAGCACCCTTATAATATTGGATAATATCAGACAGATGAAGTAAGCCATATATAGACTGAAAGAGAAAAACATGGTAGTGTCAAAGGAAAAGGGCTTGATTAGAATCAAGGGATAGTTCCTAAAAGTACAATATTAGGATTTTGCTGTAGGATCAAAAGCAGACCAGAACAAATTTATCCTTATTAAGAAATGCCAACATTGGGCAGATTGCCTCTCTATTAAGAAATGAGAAAATTGGGCAAATTGGTTTCTTGGGCTAGCACCAAATTTGCTGTCTGCCCACAAGAGTTCTTGCTATTAATAACATGGGAAATTAGGATGACCAGACACAAAGGCTAACAAGGAGTGTGTTCCTTTAGTAGTTCTGTAATAAAAGGAATGTGGGCAGGTGGAGTTGGTCATATAGGGGAGAGAAAAGCTGTATCTGCTTAATTTTTCACATTTTTCCTTTATGTCTGCTCCCTTCCCCTGGAGTGCCTGGGCAAAGGAAGAAAGAAACTTGGTGATGCACTGAGGAAGGGATGGCCTTTATGTTCCATGCAGGTAGTTCATAGCACATGCTATATGCATCTGCTTGTAACTGTGGGAAGGAGCACGTGTCCCTTTTCACTGGTCCCCAAATTTTGGTCCTCCATACATTTTTTGGACTCTGGCTCCCAGAATTCCAGACTGTTGGCTAAGCTGGATGGGGCTTTTGGAAGTTGAAGTTCAAAACATCTGGAAGACCAAAATTTGGAAACCACGGCTTTAGAGGCATCTGACATTTCCCTTTCCTTCCATGGGTGATGGAAGCACATTTCAGGGTGTAGATGCTGAGGGAGAACTGAAAAGGGAACTACAAGACACTTTCCTGATGGAATAGGCAACTCCTGGGTATCTATATATGAAGGAATTTCTAGGCTGCAGGCAAATGACCTAACATAGTTGTATTTCTCCTTTAAAATCTTTAACCTTCATGTTGTATGGGCAATTGGTGTGTGTGTTTGTGTGTGTGTGACAGAGAGAGATTAAGGAGTTTATTGCATGGCTAAATAAAATGTTTTATCTCAATCAAATTTAATTTTAAATCGGGCTGCATCCAGACCCTATCACAAAGATTTTGCTGCCGAATTTGCCACCTGAATGCAGCTGGGGTCCATCCCGCTTCCAGGAGTGCTCCCAGTTTTGAAAAGAGGTGCCTGGGAGCAGGGGTGGACCCGGGCTGCATCCGGGTGGTGATTTCGGTGGTAAAATCTTTATGATAGGGTCCAGATGCAGCCCGATTTAAAATTAAATTCGGTTCAGGTAAAAAAAAAAAAAGCTATGCCATAAGCCTCTAAGTAAAAGTGTAGTCCCTTTGCAACAATAGTTCAGGATATGCTTATGAAGAAAGAAAAACTGAATTTGTTGTGGCACTTGTACATGAAAAACAGGATGATAGCTGTTCCTGATCAACCAAGAGTTTAAAAGGC